CAGTGCCTGAAAAGAAAATCAACCCCAGAGGTGTGTGTCCTGCAGTGAGGGGCAGGGCTGGAGGCTGAGGATTCAGATGCAGGGGAACATCTAAGGAAAGCTGGACCGCTCTGCTCCCAACAGCTGTGATGGCCTCACACAGGACCTCCCCCAGGCATCAATTCATGAGAAATTAATTAGCTGGTTGCAACATTCACTGCACGATCCTAGCTAGGAGGCCCTCCTGCTCCAGAAATTTGGCAATTCTATGACTCAAAGAAAATAAGATATAACAGCTGGTAAATAAAACCATTGTTTTTTTTGTTCTTGTCTGACACGGAAGGGCTGAGGCATGCCGCAAGAGAGCTGCAGGCCGTCCGGAGAACACCACTTCCCAGACTGAGAGGATTCTAGGCAGTCCCACGAGACATCCCAGACTGTTTGTGTTATAGAGTTAAGGTGCATCATACACACATTTAACTGTAAGTGCACGGACCAAAAAAAAAGGAGGAAAGGAAAAAAAGAACCATAGTCAGTGCTGGCAATCTGTGTGTTATTCCACTCAATGGGCGTTCTGTTACCCAGTGGAACAGTCTCTGTTCTCCAGCGTCTCTTACTGTGTGAGCGGCTCAGGATGAGGCTAATGCCTGACACGACATATTTTTCATCTCTATCACCAAATCCCAAACCAACTACTTCCTCTGATGCTCCAGGGAAGAAGCAGGGATCATGTTTCCACCCTAAAGGAAAAATGAATGAACGACTTACTGAAAAACAGAAATCAGTCTCCAAAGAGGAATGACTTCCTAAGGGTCTTTCAAGGACAATTTTTGACAATACTCAATTTTCACAGTATATGCTGACTACAGAACCAAATCTCCAAATAAGACTCAAGTATGGTTATTGTGGTTCAAGGGTTCACTCCTAAACCTATCACCAAGAGGTGGTATAAACTGAAATTTGTTACCATATACTTTTAAGGTACTTCGTGTTGATTAAAGTGCTCTCCTATCAACTCTCATTTAACATACACAGAAGCCAAGCAAAGGACACGGAACAAGCACGGTGGTTTCCACCTTAGAGGTCAAGTGTAATAATATAAAGAGTAGGAGTTTTGGAGCCAGAAAATTTGGGTTCAAATCCAGACATACCATTCAATTTTTAAGAATCTTAGTTTCCTATGAGTAAAATGTGGACAGTGCACACACCTCACAGAGGTTTTGAGGATGAGTCAAGTATACAAGTGGCACGTGTGTGATACTCGATGTCTGTTCCCACAGGAAGTAGAGCTCTATGTTCCACACACCTAATGTAGCTAATAAAGTCCAAAGTAGAACAAACATGTCCAATTTCCACCTCCATGCTCGGAGATTCAAGAAGGGTGTGACTTAGCATCTCTTTTAAAAGGTTTAGAAGATCAGTCCTTGACATACTCTGCTACAAAGTGTTTTGTTCAAGTAAAATTTGTGAAATGTCACTCTCTTGAAGACTCATTAGGCACATATGTGAGTGTATGTGTATGATATAAAGGCTCTGAGAACTGTGTAATAAAGAAACCAGGTAAATATGTATAGCTAATATTTTCCAAAGGTGCATTTAATAATGGAATCCTTTTTGCAGAATTACTATAAATATCCACCAGACTTAATGTTCTTCTGACTATACTTTTGGAAATACTAGTTTCGTTATACTAATGTGTGCCAAATAAATTATAGTTTATTAGATTATAAAAGACTGAAAAGTAATGTGAATAAAGTAACAATGGATTACAGGACAAAGCACAAGAAAATATCCTTTAAACAAAGTCCCTGAAATGAGCACTGGGTGTTACAGGCAACTGATGAATCACTAAACTCTACCCTGAAAGTAATCATACACTAACTTGAATTTAAATTTTGTAAAAAATAATGAATTTTTTAAAATAAACAAACCCCCCGAAATCATTTTTTGCAGCCTGCCTTGACTTTACCCAGTGTCAAACTTAAAAAAAAAAAAAAAAAAAAAAAAAAAGTCTATTTAGGCCATTGAAGGCATTTTAACTTTCAGAGAGGTGTCAAAATAAGTCTACCATAAACAAAGATTTCAAGAAGTAGCTCATGTCATCTGGCAAAAGACAGGATTGGGTGGAGAGTGGGGAGTGGAGAGGTGGTGGGTACTGCACCCATGTTTTGTTACAGAACTGATTTGTAGGACACCTGGGTGGCTCAGTGGGTTAAGCTTCTGCCTTCCACTCAGGTCAAGATCCCAGTGTTCTGGAATCAAGCCCCACATCGGGCTCTCTGCTCAGCAGGGAGCCTGCTTCCCCCCTCTCTCTCTGCCTGCCTCTCTGCCTGCTTGTGATCTCTCTCTGTCAAATAAATAAATAAAATCTTAAAAAAAAAAAAAACCAAAAACAAAACAAGACTGATTTTCATGAGATATCCTAGTCCCTAATCAACTTTCCAAGAACGGTACATAATCTTATGTTGCAAGCACTATCTCTCCTGTCATTATCCCTGGTAGAGTTCATAAGGTGTGAACTATAACCCACAAAGATGAGGAATCCTTTTTTTCTGAAAACTCTGAGAAAGCGGTTATTCTGTCAGTTGTGAAGAAAAAAACAGTCAACTCCATTAGCAACATGTGGTCAATTCTGAATATTTCTGCAAGTCTCTGGTGTAATTAAAAACTGCAGGAAAAAAAGGTCAACCTAGGGGCGCCTGGGTGGCTCAGTGGGTTAAGCCTCTGCCTTGGGCTCAGGTCATGACTCAGGGTCCCCAGATCAAGTCCCGGGCTTCCTGCTAAGCTTCCCCGCTTTCCCCTCTCTCTTTCTGCCTCTGTGCCTACTTGTGATTTCTCTCTCTCTCTCTGTCAAATAAATAAATAAAATCTTAAAAAAAAAAGTCAAACTAGATTTCTTAAGATCTTGTAATAAGATATTATTTTGATTCTCCTAAAAAACTCCTAAGTGGTTATTACACCGGAGTCCTAAAAGTATACACTGACTTTACATAATAATTCACATCAAGAAAATCACTCTTCACAGTTAACTTTAAAAATAAAACTTTAAAAAAATTAAAAACTCAGACTGCTCAATTTGTTCGAAGATGGGTTTTTCCTACATTGCAGACAATTATCTCTATTATTGTACGCAAACCCTTCTAGTTAATGCTTTCATCTTCGACCTCTAGAAGACGAATAAAGCGTAGACTAGGCCCAAGGAATTCTTTTAAAAATTATATTAGTTTTTAATATTCACTGACAAATAAAATACAGGGTTTTTCGAGGCCCTGCTGTAACGCAGAGCTCTAAGCTCAGGAATGAGGAGCAGACAACTGTCTGGTCAGCAGTGACGTCCCGGGATGCGGGCTTCGGGTCAGAAAGAGGGTCAAGCGTCCACGGTTTTCAGGGACACCGGACAGAGTGCAGGCATGTTCGCTCCGTGCGGAGCCATGAACGCGGCGCCGCGGCCGGTGACCCGGGAAGCGCGGCTCGGCCACGAACAGCGGCGGCGGGAAGAGGCGGGAGGAGCCACCACGACCCAAGACGCCGGCGCTGCCCGAAAAGCCGTCGTTGACAGTCCGGTCCACGTTCTGCGGGACTGGAAGCCCCCAGGACCGCTCGGTCGCGGCGCCCGCCGGGCCAGGCCCAACCCGGGGCCACCCGCGCGTCCCCTCTCCGCACGCGCGCGGGTCCGCCTCCACCCCTCCCCACCCCCGCACGAAGCCGGGGCAGGGGCGCGGGAGGACGCACCGGGGGCGGCGACGGAGCGTCCCCGCACCTCGCCGCCGCCCTCCCGCAGCCCGCGCCGCGCCTCCCGCCTCCGGCCCGAGGTCTGCGAGACTCAGAGACGCCTTCGATGGCTTCTCGGCGAACCGTGGCCGCGCTCCCTTCCGCCCCTCACCTTCACGAAAGCAATCGGGGTTGTGGTACCTTCGACGTCCAACAGGATCACGCTGACCTCGGCGGGCACGGGCAGCACCACCATCTCCCCCCCCGCACGCGCCCACCCGCCTTGGCCCGCCGCAAGGGAGCGCGGAGGGTGGCGCCCACTGCGCCCCCGGCAGCGTCCCGGGCTTCCCACGGCCCCGCGAGAACGTCCACCCGCAGCCGCGTGCGGCCGAGGCCGAGGAACACGGCCGCCCCCGCGCCCCCGCCGGTGGCAGAGCCCGCAGCCCAGGCGCCAGCACCGCCCAGCTGCCGCGGCCTAGGCCGAGACCACATGGGCCGGGGAAGGGCGGTCCTCGCGGAGAGCGGGGAGGGGGGCGGGGCGGGGGCGTCGACGCCAATTGGCCACCGGGGAGCCGCGAACGCGATCCGTCAACAGGGGCCTCGCGTGGGCGGGAACAAAGAAGCGAGCGCGGGAGCCGGGCGCGCGTGTGCGCGCGCGCTCGCCGCAGACTGGTAGAGCGAGCGGGAGCGGCCCGGGGCACGTGCAGACGGGAGCCCCGCGAGTGGCGCGCCGGGGATGTGAGTGCCCCTTGCCCTCTACGGCAGCTGGCCCCCTCCCCGCCCACTGCCTCCGCTTTCGCAGCCTCACAGTAGCCCGGGCGGGCCCGCGCCCCTCCCCACGGCGGCGCCCGCAGCAGAGGCCGTGCGGGAACCGGCCCGCCGGACTGCGTCGGCCCCGGCTCCGGCCGCTCGGAGGGGGCCCCGCCGCGCCTCCCCGGCCAGCGCGCCTGCGGCGGTAGCGGAAGAGGCCGCCGCGCCGCGGTCCGGAGGGGCCCCGCGCGCCCGCTCGCTGCCGGGCCGGTTCCAGCCGGCTCGAGGACAAAACACGCGTGCGCGCGGCGGGGCGGGCGGGGGGCGCGCTCGCGGTCTCGGCCGCCGGCGCCGGGCGCAGTCCGCCTTTTTCCGGGAGCTTCCCGGCCGCGGTGGTAACCGACAGCGGCGGCCGCCCCGCAGCAGTCCGCACGCGGGCGCCGAGGGCTCTGGAAAAAGGCGGGGTGGACGGCTGTTCGCGGGAGCGGCCGGACCGGACGCCGGAGACAAAGGCTCCCCGGACCAGCGGGACTGTGGCCCTGCGACGGCGCCGCTCGGACTCTCGGCCCAGGACTCGTCGCCCCGTCGTGTGTTCCTCTTCCGACGCTTCTCTCGTCTTAAGCCCGCGTGCCCTCACCCACGACCTCGCTCCTCAGCGGGAGGGTCGCGATGGAGGTCCCGCCCCGGCTCTCCCATGTGCCGCCGCCATTGTTCCCCTCCGCTCCCGCTACTTTAGCCTCCCGCAGCCTTTCCCATTGGCGGCCGCGGGCGCCGCGGCAGCTCGCCCCGCTCCTCCCTTCGCTCGCTGCCAGCTCCGCCCGGCAGGGGGCGCGCCGGGCCCAGCGCCACGTCACCGCGCAGCAGCCCTCGCGATTGGCGGGCGGGGCGGCTATAAAGGGAGGGCGCAGGCGGCGCCCGGATCTCTTCCGCCGCCATTTTAAATCCAGCTCCATACAACGCTCCGCCGCCGCTGCCGCCGCGACCCGGACTGCGCGCCAGCACCCCCCGGCCGACAGCTCCGCCGCCATGGAGGACATGAACGAGTACAGCAACATAGAGGAGTTCGCAGAGGGATCCAAGATCAACGCGAGCAAGAACCAGCAGGATGACGGGTACCACACGCTTCTCCTCTCGTCCCCCTCCCCCAGCGCGCCGCACGCGCCCTCCGCCCCTCGAGAGCCGCGCGCTGCCCCGGCTCCTGCCCCGAGTCGATTCCCCGCGTGCCCGCTGGGCCCCGCTGGCCTGAAGGGAAGAGGAAAGTAGGAGACGGAGGGGGTGACTCGAGAGGCCCGCGGAAGGTGGGGGAAGGGCGGGGGAGTTGGAGGAGGAGGGCGGCGGCGGCGTCTGTGTCCCGAGTGCGCAGGCGCCGCGTGGGGCCCGAGGGGGAGGGGCGGCCCGGCCGCGCCGCACGCTGCAGCTGCCGCCGCCTTCTCATTGTGTCTGTGCCGGGGCCCCGCGCGCTGTCCGTGGGGAGGGTTTGTCGGTGTGTGACGGGTACCCGGACCCGCAGAACGCGGTGCGGGTTCTTCAGGTTGGAACGGTGCCTTGACAGCCGTGGAAGGGGCTGGGCCGCGGGGTGAGGGACCGGTCAGAGGCCGCTGAAAACGCGAGCAGCGCGGAGCAGTTCGCCGCGGAATTTGGTGTCCTGCAGCCGATGACCAGCCGCGCGGTGTCTCCGCCGCGGTGGGGCTTGGGGGTCTGTGGGCTGTAGGCACCGACTGAGTTGTTTGAGGACGCGGTTAAACGACCCCGCTCTGCCGTGCGAACGGAAGCCACCCTTGGGGCGCTGCTGATGTTTTTCTCTCAATAACTTCATTCCTAGTAAAATGTTTATTGGAGGCTTGAGCTGGGATACAAGCAAGAAAGATCTGACTGAGTATTTGTCCCGATTTGGGGAAGTGGTGGACTGTACGATTAAGACAGACCCGGTGACCGGAAGATCGAGAGGATTCGGATTTGTGCTTTTCAAAGACGCTGCTAGTGTCGACAAGGTAGGAGCGGGTGCCCTGCGCCGGCGGCGTCCGTGTGCCGTCCTGCAGGCCGTCGGGCGTTGGGCTGTGCATTGTGGATTAAAAACACTTGTCTTCTAGGTTTTGGAACTGAAAGAACACAAACTGGATGGCAAATTGATAGACCCCAAAAGGGCCAAAGCTTTAAAAGGGAAAGAACCGCCCAAAAAGGTTTTTGTGGGCGGATTGAGCCCAGATACTTCTGAAGAACAAATTAAAGAATATTTTGGAGCCTTTGGAGAGGTGCGCTGTGTGATTACGTCTGTGTGTTTCCTGCTCGGTGTGTTCATGTCACGTGCATCCCCAGCTTGTTAGAGAGCAGATTGATGCGTCCGGTGGGGAGGCGGTTAAATGAACTGCTCAGGTCCCTTCTGGCCACTGTACCTTAATGGCTGTTTTTTCTGTGCTGGGATGGAAACCAGCATCTTAATTTATTTCGGTCAAAACACAGGTGCTTTGGGGTGGTCAGTGTTTGGACTTACCAGCCAGTGGCATCTGTGGGTGCAAAATGATACTAAGTTTTGCTCTCTGAACGCTTCACAGATGAATTTTTGTGGTGCGATGTTGATAATAAAATACAAGTTTCTGTGCAGAAGTATTCTGACCAGAGTAACTTGCAGTATGTTCTGTTGAAGCTTGAGACCTTTGGTGATGTAATACTTTTCGGTACCTTTTATCATTGGTGGATGATGGGAGTGTGCTTCTGGGTTTCAGATTGAAAATATTGAACTTCCCATGGATACAAAAACAAACGAAAGAAGAGGATTTTGTTTTATCACGTATACAGATGAAGAGCCAGTAAAGAAATTATTAGAAAGCAGATATCATCAAATCGGTTCTGGGAAGGTAAAACCATTTTGTTTCTATTAATGAAGTTTGGGGGTTTTTTGGTTTGTTTTTTTTTTAAGATTTTGTTTGTTAGATCTCAAGTAGGCAGAGAGGCAGGCAGAGGGGGCGGGGGAAGCAGGCTCCCTGAATGTGGGGCTCAATCCCAGGACCCTGAGATCATGACCTGAGCCCCGAAGGCAGAGGCTTAACCCACTGAGCCACCCAGGCACCTGAAATGAACATTGTGAAGGTGGTTTTTTGTTTTGTTTAGTGAGATTTCTTAGTTTTGAGAAGAATAAAATGGCTTGACAGTACAGTAAAAGAAATTTCTCATGTGTTTACAGTGTGAAATCAAAGTTGCACAACCCAAAGAGGTATACAGGCAGCAACAGCAGCAACAAAAAGGAGGAAGAGGTGCTGCAGCTGGTGGACGAGGTGGCACTAGGGGTCGTGGACGAGGTGAGGCTTAATTCTTTGAAAATGACTGCATGGTTTAAGCTGTAAACGGCTCAGTAGAAATAAGCCCAGGAGAAAATAAAGCAGATTTTCAGCATAAAATGCTCAAGTTAGTGAGTGACTTTTTGTTAGTTCACTGGTTTCGCGTCTTCCAAGAATGGCCACTTTGAATGGGAAAACAATACCAATTTAATGTAGTTAGGATTACGTGATAACACCATGGCATGCTAGGTTTGGGGGGCGGGAGTCCTTGTTTTAAAACCAAACAGCCTACTTGTCTTCACCTTTGTTCTGATTTTTCCGTTACATTTAGGAAGCCTGGTAATTGGCGCAGTTGGACTTTCTGTCCCCTTTTATGACAACTGGAGTAATTTTCTCAGTCAGATAATTATATAGATGTCCGTTCACCTGTTTCAGATTTTCAGAGTGAGGGACAGGAACACAACATTTTGTGGTAGGATTGGGGGTCAGAAGTTGTTATCTAACAATCATTGTGCATTGTTTCAGGTCAGGGCCAAAACTGGAACCAAGGATTTAATAACTATTATGATCAAGGATATGGAAATTACAATAGTGCCTATGGTGGTGATCAAAACTATAGTGGCTATGGCGGCTATGATTATACTGGGTATAACTATGGGAACTATGGATATGGACAGGGATATGCAGACTACAGTGGTAAGAATATTTATCTTAATTTCATAAACCAGTGGTATTAAAATTCTATGTTAAAGTACAGTCCTGTTCTGAAATTGTTTCTGTGTGGGTTTTCCATTCTTGAAGTGTTTGGAGTTAAGTTTTTAGGCATTTGATTGTCATCGGGTAATTATATTAATGTAAAAACTTTGGTTATAAATGTTGTAGAATATGTGATATATGACTAATTTATAATGGCTATTTAAGATACCTGGTATTTTAATATTTGGCATGCAGAGTTGTACATGTTTCTAAAGTATTTATAACGAAACCATTTTGTAGAAAACTATATCTTAATAGAATTTTTTTGTGTTTTGAAAATAGGCCAACAGAGCACTTACGGCAAGGCATCTCGAGGGGGTGGCAATCACCAAAACAATTACCAGCCATACTAAAGGAGGACGTTGGAGAAAACAGGTGTGTGTAAGAGTACAAGAAACCAGTGGAAATGTCTAATTTAATTTAAAGATCAATAGACAAATGAAAAATAAGTAAAAACAAAATATTACGTAGTCTGTTTTTACTAAATTGTTAACTTTTTAATTGCTTTATGAGCCCGTTTTGCCTAAAGTGTCTATAGATCTTTAACTTTAAAGTCTTATCTCACTTTCTTTAGTATTACAGAAAAACTTAAGAGTTTTTCTGTTTGCTTTGTGTACCAGGTGGTCTAGAGGAATAATTAAACTTTTTTAGAACTATTAACAGGTAAAGTACTGAAATGGGTACAACTTAAGGAAAACAAGAATGTTGTCTTCTAACTCTGACATTATACCTTGTTTGTACCCGCCAGCGGGAACTTCATTGCAGGCCGTGTGTCACCCTGACCACGTCTATCTCTGGGGGTCGCACGTTGCGGGCAGAGCGCAAGGCATACACCAGAAAACGCTGTCCTGTGGTATGGTCTCTTCCAACTTCATGTACCAGCGTAAAGATTAAAGTGGAAAACTTCAGACTTTGGCTTCTTTTTTAATCTTTTTGAAGATTAAGTGTCTAAACTTAACTTAAATGGTTTTTTACAGGAGTTAAAGTACATAAATGCCTTTTTACAGCTTAATCATTTTGGTCTTCTGTTTAGTGTTGTATTTCAATTGTGGAGCCTCATTTTAAGTGTTCATTCTTTAAGATTTAATGCTTGCTTTTTCTTTTTATAGCTAATAGTGAAATCTACAAACCAAAACAAGAACTTTAAAATCTGGGATATAAATTAAAGATCATATGCACAAAGCAATTTGTTTTCTTAAAATATAAAAGCTTATTAGAAATTCACTTTTGTAAGAGGGTTTTTTGGCTTACTAGAGATACTTCTAGTAGACCTTAATCTAGCACAGTTTAACCTGTGAAATGGGAACATTGCATTCCCCAGTTCCTTAACTAAGTTAACTATCATTTGGGAACTCCAGGGTGAATTTATTAATGACCCAAATTACATTTGGCCATTGAGTATGCATGTGATCTTTAATTATTGAAGAAAAGAATAAATTGAGGACTTAAAACAATTCATGAAAGTGGACCTTTGAAAGCTTTCAGAGTTGCACAAATCTAATTGCTATTTTGTTTTTGTTTTTAGGAGGAAATTGCTAAAGTTAACCCATCTTGCAGGACGACATTGAAGATTGGTCTTCTGTTGATCTAAGATGATTATTTTGTAAAAGACTTTCTAGTGTACAAGACACAACTGTGTCCAGCTGTATATAGCCGCCAATTAGTTTTCTTTGTTTTTACTTTGTCTTTTGCTATCTGTGTTATGACTCGATGTGGATTTGTGTTTATACAAATTTTATTTGTATGATTTCATGTTAAACCTCAAATAAATGCTTCCTTATGTGATTGTTTTTCTGCGTCAGGTACTAAATAGCTCTGTAAAAGTGTGATTTAAAATAAGCAATAATTAAGGCACAGTTTATTTTGTAGGGAGTATTGGTCCATAGGGAGAAACTGGTCCTTTATGAATAGCCAGCTACAGTGTCCCCCTGTTATCCATTTTTGTTAGATGTATACTATCCTCTAAGGCTTCATTTTCCTGCTAAAAGAGATTTCTACCACACCTTTAATGTTTTTGTGTATCTGGAGGCCTTGTCATAGGGTCGCCAGTAGTGGAGGTTTTCTAGCAGACCCATGAATCTTTCTGGACTGTGTCTTGGTGAAGTGCACCTTTTTGGCACAAAGCATGTTGGTAGCTCCTTTCATGAATAGAAGAGATTGTGCTTTGTTCCCGTCTCTGGGAAGCCATTAGAGATAAGCTAAATCAGGATCCGTGTGGTCTGTTAGAGCTTCGGCTAATCATAATACCCTGACTTTGTTTTCTCGATTAAAATGTCCAGATGTACCCAGGCAAAAGGCCCTGTTAAACTGTATGTAGAAGCTACAGTTTAAGAGTATCAAAAACTAATTTTAACAAGCATTTTGGCAGATAGGTGGTTAAAATTTGAGCAAATGTTAGATTGAGGTATTTGAAGTAGTAGTGGCTGAGGAAATACAGTTGTATTCTGGTATTGTCAAAGCAAGCACCAAACTGAACAAAATGTTTTCTATTGGGATATTTTTAGGAAGCTATATTGGGTGTTAACTGTTAATGTGGTGTGAGTTCTTAGAAAAAGTCATGGTAGTAGATATCATCATTTTTAATGCATTAGTGCATGAGCCGAGTAGTTAAACATACCCAAATTCAGATATAGGAAGGAGTAATAGGGGAAAGTACACTTTAAGTTTTATGTATGTCAGTGCAAATCTAAGTGAGTCATTAAAACATCTTCCTGGTGCATCAAAAAGCAGTTTTAGCCCTAGATTTGGGATAATTCCCTGGGTAAACCCAAGTTTTGAATTTTAACATTCAGTGTAGTTGGATTTAAGGTTTTTAAGTTATATTTTCTGTGGTTCCACATTAAGCTCTAGGATTGGCATACATATTCAAATGCGTAGTAGTTGACCTCACCTTCAACCAAATGTTAATTTTTTATGCTGATGAACCTGCCTTTTGTTTCATTTGGTGCCTGCAACTTTTCTCTGTTCAATGATGTTTGTACTTGCTGGCTATCAAGTTACAATGCACTTGGCCTCCTTTTGCATCCTGTTTTGCTATTTGATCTTAAACCTAGGCCAAGTACCAATGTTGGTTATTGCAAGGGACTGTTCATTATATCGACATGCAACGTTAGGGAAGGAGGAAGATTTTGATTTTAAGTTATGTTGTCAAAGTCTGTAGGTGCAGTGTCTCTAGAGCAGTGAATCCTGTTCAAATTTATGATTAGGTGAGAAGTTGACATTGAGATTGTCCTTTCCCTGATCAAAAATGAATAAAGGCTTTTTAAACAAAATCCAAACTTTTCAATCAAGTCTTGATATATATATATATATGACTTTGAAGAAATACACTACATCTATAGATGATTGAGAATTACAAAGAACTGAAAGTAAGAATGCGTTTGGGTTCCCCCCCGCTCCAAGGGGCTTTGGACTCTCTAAATTCAGATTTTAGGCTCTATGAATGCCAACTGATGTAAATTTTAAATACAGCAAGGCTAAGCCATAGGACTTCATTTGGTTGAACAATAAAGTTACCAGGGTGTCATCCAAGTATTTAGAACTAAGTAATTTGACAAAGGCATGAGGGTGGAAATTCTGAGGTCCTTAAGACACAAACATAAGTAGCCTGTGTTCTTGTTAAATGTGCTTCCTGAATGGTTTTGACCGAGTTCTGTGTAGTGTTCCTCATCCTAATAGAAACTATTAATTTCACTGGTATTCTGTGGTCTCATAGTTACATTTATAAAGATTATTAAGATGTCTGTTGGGATACTAACATGGATAAGCAGAGCTTTTATTCCATTCCCTGATGCAGCTTTCAGAATGTTGACAGGGACTGTCAATTGTAAATTTTAGTACTTAATTTTTAATATCTGAAAATTTCACCACTACCCTTTATGAAGATTTTCTGATAGGATGTAAGCCACAGGATGCTAAGTTTCAGTGATTAAAAGTGATTCAAGGACACTGCAGGTGTACTGCAATTTTTCTGTTACCTTTTCTATAAAGTCATTCAAAAGTACTGTCATAAAAATACGGGTTGTTTTAGGATTAGTTGGGGTTTTGTATTTTTGTCTTGAAATAGTTTAATTTGATGTGGAATTTGAATGGATTTTGGTTGAATGGCAAGAAATAAAAATTGACCTTTGACTTCTCAACCACTGCTTTTTATAAACTAGGGTAGAGCATAGTGCTTTCCTGGGATTACACGTAAGGTACATTCTGAAAACTTGATCTATGTTTAAGTGGTAGCTTAATCTGGTTTTATTTGAGTACTCAAATGTTTAAGAGGTTTACCCCTCAAGCACCTGGTTGGCTTAGTGGAGCATGTGTCTTGATCTCGGTGTTTTAAGTTTGAGCCCCATATTGGGTATAGAGATTACTTTTGAAAAGTCTTAAAAAAGTTGTACTCCCATTTTGGTGGAGGTATATCCATCTCACAGGATGTTGGGACTGAGTTGTAGTTTGAAAAAGGATATTCAATATACTCTCATTTGTTATTTAAATTGTAGAAATTTCAAATAACAATGTTTTAGGGTTTGAGTTTATCAAAGACCAACACAAATGAGAAATACATGAGAAACACTGTAGACAAGTTTCCTTATGCTACTCTAGTGGTTATATCTTGAGAATCTAACCAAAAATGAATTTTGACCCCCCAAAAGATGCAAGTCTATATATATTTTAAGTACAGTTTTCAGAGAAATTATCTTTGAAAGCCATCTAGTTTAAAAGGCTCTTGAGGTTGTTGGCTTTAATGGTAATGGACTAAAGTTTTTTGAATTTGCTACCCTTGATGAGGTTGCACAAAGGTGACAATGGGAGCTAAATGGTATTTTAGGGTAGTTCCAACCTTCCATTACCAGGACACCCTTTAATATATTCTTTCACAGACTCGGGGTTTTTTGTTGTTTTCATTTTGTTTATTATTGGGGTTTGTTTTGTTTTGTTGAAAGCACAGGGGAAGGTCGGGGAGGTAAATCTCAACCAGGCACCACGCCCAGCCCAGAGCCCAGTGCAGGACTCGATCTCACAATCCTGAGATCATGACCTGAGCCAAAATCAAGAGTTGGATGCCTAACTGACGGCCCCATGCAGGCCCCCCCGGACTGTGTTTTGAATGGCTGTATATTTATCAACTACATTACTCACTATGTAATGATGCTTCTATTAAAAATCCACATAGGGCATCTGGCTGGCTCCGTCGGTAGAACATGCAACCCTTGATCTCGGGATTCTAAGTTCGAGCCCCACATTGGGTGTAGAGATTATTTAAAAATCTTAAAAAAAAAGTCATCAGCTGTCAATCAGAATTTCCCACAGTATGATAATTGGCATCATATCACCAACTACAATGCCAGCTAAGACCAAAGAATCTTCATTAGCTTGTCCAGGTTTTTAAAAATATTTCTATCAGGGAGCACCTGGGTGGTTCAGTGGGTTAAGCCTCTGCCTTCCGCTCAGGTCATGATCTCAGGGTCCTGGGATGGAGCCCCACATCTGGCTCTTTGCTCAGCGGGGAGCCTGCTTCCCCCTCTCTCTCTGCCTGCCTCTCTGCCTACTTGTGATCTCTCTCTGTCAAATAAATAAATAAAATCTTTAAAAAAAAAATATTTCTATCAGACTTTTAAAATATTGAAGTCTTAAGAATTCTCATTACTACTTTCTAGGACTTTAGCACTATACCGACCACATTATTGAAAATAAGGAGAAACAAAATGCATTTTTAAGTACATTTCATATTCTAGGGAAAAGTCATTTTAAAATACTTTAAATAACTATATTGTTACAGTTACCCATACTAAACTATAACTATAAAGTAGTTATCCATACCTTAAAATGTAGCATGGATACAATTCACGTTTTTTTAAATTTTTTAAAGATTTACTTATCTGGCAGCAAGAGAGCACAAGCGGGGAGAATGGCAGAGGGAGGGAGAAGCAGGCTCCCCCAGTGAGCAGGGAGTCTGAAGTGGTGCAATATGGGGCTCAATCCTGGCCCCTGAGCTGAAGGCAGACAGACACTTGAATGACTGAGCCCCCAGGCACCCCATTCAAATTTTTAAAAATCATGCTTTGAATGACTTCAGAACAAACAGGCCTCCAAATTATACCTTTGATCTCATTTTAAACATATACTTCTGTTTTCCATACATTTGTTCTTTAGTTAGATTCCATATAAATAAACAAGGACTTAGAGACTGTCAAAACTAAGAAAAACTTCACCCTGGCCTAGGTCTTCCCTTATTCTTTCAAAGTTATTTTAATTGCTATTAGCATGATGTTTTAGGACGCTAAGATGTAGACATAGAAAAGATACTTAATTTTCTTCCATTCCCCATCTAACACAATGACAAATTCAGGAACATCATCTCACTTCCAGTTCTCTGCTGACAGTGGGATCCATCCATCCTTCCTTCCCTCCTTCCTTCCTCTCTCTTTCCTTTTTCTTCCTCCATCTGTCTTTCTCTCCCCCCCTTCCTTCCTCCCTCCTTTTTTGTCTTTTTTGTTTCTTCCTTCCTCCCTCCGTACCCCTCTCTCTTTCTTTCTTCCTTTGTTTTCTTTTTTTCATCTTGAAAAAAAGACCCCCCCAAGAGAGGAGGGTCTTGGTGTTAGTGGCAGGTAGAGAGATTTGCCACTGACCCGTAACCAAGATCCACAGTACTACCAGGCAAGTGTTGTTTAATCTGAATCTTTTTCAATTCTCCTGCTTATAAATATTTGCCCCTCGAAATCATCCTCTTACTTCGTTAAGGACGCCAGGGGGGCAAATTTCACTCCTCTGCCTTTAACAGAAACAATCAAGCAGACACTTAGCCAGGAAATACACAGGCATTAATTACTGCTCTCTTGATAATTCTGGGAAAGCTATGCAAATTCTTAGTATAACTTGGTTAAGAACAATGGTCACAGTTTATTAACTCCATTTGTTGCCATGAGAAAAGAGAATGCCTTAGGTAAAGATGTCAGTTCTTAAATTATCCATAACATGCTAAGATGATACTGTTTTTTTATTTAGCAGTACATAATTCACATTTCCATGCATTAGCACATTCTTCATAATAGGGTAAGAACATGTACTCAGGTATACATTTACATGAGATAAAATTTTCATTAGACATTTGTTCAAAAAGTATTTAATACTTGCTTCCGTTTTCAGCAACTATGGCCTAAGTAATTCTAATTAATGCTTCTGAACATAAGCAGGATGAAAAAGATTTTTAAGTCTTCCTAAAAGAACTAAACAAGCTAAAAATATAATGAAAAATTCACCTGGCTAAAATCTAGAGAAGGTCAAAACCGAGAGAAGTACGCCTGGCATTTAAAGTTGGGTTTGATGGCCTTACCAGACAAAGGAAAAGAAGTAAAAAGCGTAGGCCACCCCCAAGTGTAGACTCTCATACCCCAATTACTCCATTAAACTAAGAGTTTCCGAAAGACCTGAGAACCCAGTTCCCTCACCTATGTAGTTAAGAGAACCTTAATCCCAGAATTTAGATTAAGATAGTTCTAGTAAGGGGCGCCTGGGTGGCTCAGTGGTTTAGCCTCTGCCTTTGGCTTTGGGATCAAGCCCCGCATCAGGCTTTCTGCTCAGCAGGGAGCCTGCTTCCTCCTCTCTCTGCCTGCCTCTCCGCCTACTTGTGATCTCTGTCAAATAAATAAAATCTTAAAAAAAAAAAAAAAAAGATCTAGTAAGGTAAGGGGCCTCAAGTGCCTGGAAAAAGGAAATGAAAATCATTTCTTTGTCCTAGATTTCTGATGGTTTCCATGAAGGTTTTTTCAAACATAATGACGAGTACACGATACAATCCACCATGAGTGAGAATCAACACAATGTACAAATCCGGAAGATAGCAGGTCTCCTTGCTTACTGCGTTGAAATACAATACAAGCTTGAAAATACCTTAGGGAAGAGGAAACTTAAAGCAACACAATAGATCTGATAAAGAATCAAACAGAACTTACACAAATAAAACAATAAATGAAATTAAAAACTAAAGATGGATGGGTCTAAAAACGGAGTAGATACAAGTTAAGAATTAGTAAACTGAAGGATAGATGAGAAGATACTTTTCAAATTTCAGCATGGAAAGACAAAAGCATGAGAACTGTCAGGAGAACATAACAATTCCGGTAGGTGGTATAACATGTTTGATCGGAGTCTTAGATGAAGAATCAAGGAGCCCACGGGGAAGGTGAGTACGGCACACCACACTGGGGAGGGGTGGCAGAGACGCCTTCGCCCTTCCTTTTGGGCACCCCCCCAAAAAAGTAAAAGAGACAGAATGAGG